GGTTTAGGGTTTAGGGTTGCAGGGTTCAGACTTCAGGGCTTCAGGGGGTAGGGCCTCGGTAATTCGAATAGCGCCTTGGGGGGGTATGGTATACCAGAATTATATACTAGGGAGCCCCTAGAATAGTATAGGTACGGAATTATTTAGGCCCCCTATATCAGGGCCCTGTTTAGGGGCTGACGGCTTCTTGCAAGTTTTTGGATGATCTGGAGCTCCAGAGCTCACTACCTTGCACCCTGAACCCAAGCTTGGTTTTGACTCCTTACCTTTCCTTTCGAAAGGAGTCATCCTGCTCAGGGTCCTCGATATGAAAATCTCAACTTTGGAATCTTGTCCGATCTTGCGCCTTCGGGTGTCGGGTTGAGGGTGGGTTCAGCTGATTACCAAAACTGCGCTTCAACGCTTCCAAGCCCTAAGCAGGAAGTGCTGTAGTCACGCTCAGGGCACGGCCGACTGGCAGAGAACCTGCGCTGGAAAAACACACTGTGACTGCGTAGAGTCAGTCGGCAGCTTACTAGCATCGGTTACTATTGGCAGCATGATCATGCCAGTCTTCGCTTGGTCCTTATTTCGGGATGGCGGGATCTCTCCAGAAACCCGGGATGCGTGTTTGATGGCCCATGAAAGAAGTCCGAAAGCAAAAGCATGCACTTGGCAGACCTCAGTGAGCGAGATGCGGACGGCTTCCGTCGCTGGAGCCGCGCCGAACTTGCACATGTACTTCTCCTGTGCCACAGGGAAAAGCCCTTCACAAACGCCAGCTCTCCAAGCACTTCCAGCTTCCAAAGCTCAGCAGCTCGCACTCGGCATTGGCAGATAGCGGCTTCCCGGGATCGAAATCTGCCACATCCCGATCGCGGGGGCCTGGCCACTTCACCAAAGTTTCCGGATCAGCGCTGATCATCCAACAGCTAGCCAGTGCAAAGGTGAGCAAAAGACTGCACCAAACAAGCAGAAGGGAGGGCTTCCAAACTAAACCCCTACTGTTACTATAGTACCTGAAACCCAAAACCCTAGCACAAAAAACCTCGACTCCAAACCCCTAAACTCCTTAGCCTCGAAAGTCCTAACGCTTAAATCCCGAATCCGCATACCCAAAACCCCAAACCCCTGGAGAACGAGATCTGAGCGTCAGACCCAGGCTGGGTATGGATCGTACATTGAGAAGATGGGGATCACCTCAAGGGCCGAGCCACATCTCTCTCTCTCTCTCTCTATA